CTAACATTTATACTAGAGATTGATTGAATCAAGCATGTTTGCCCTCAACCACACTGTATCTCCTGTCTCTAGTTTTTTTTTTTAAAGACAGGATTTCTCTTTGTAGCCCTGGTTATCCCAGAGCTCACCTCCTGCCTCTGCTTCCACAATACTGTAATTAAAGGCATGAACTGCTGTATCTAATTCATTCTTAAGACTGGAATAAAATTTAGTTACATACCTTCAATATATTAACAGTACAGATATAGAAATTAATTACTCTACAAGAGCTGAATGGATAGTTGCTTTGTTTGGAAATTGTCCTTTAAAAACTCACCTAGAACATGTAAACAATCCCTCCCCCTTATTTCATGCTTCTCCTAAGCTCTGTATACGATCTTGACCTTTTCTGCCACCACAGCTGAGGGCTTCCCCTCCTGTTGTAGTGGAAGTGGTATTTAAATTAGGGAGATGTCATTTGGTATTTTTTTCTCTCTTCTCTTCTCTTTTTCCCTTTTCCCCTTTCCTTTTCTTTTTTCCTCTTCCTCCTCTACTTTCTCCTCATTTTTTTGTGTGTGTTTTTGTTTTGTGAAGCAATGTTTCTCTGTTTTAGCTCTGACTGTCTTAGAACTCATTTTTAAAAAAGATTTATGTGTTTTATGTATTTGAGTGCTCTATCTGCATGTAGCCCTGCATGCCAGAAGAGATGATTAGATTATAGGGGATTACATTATAGGTTGTGTGAACCATCTACATATGATTGCCAGGAGTTGAACTCAGGACTTCTGGAAGAGCAAATAGTGCTCTTAACCGCTGAGCCATCTCTCCATCCCCTTTGGAACTCATTTTATAGAGCAGGCTGGCCTCAAGTTTACAGCGATCCGCCTGCCTCTGCCTCCCTAGTGCTGTGATTGAAGGAGTATGCCATTCCCCCACCCCCACATGTTGTTTTTCCCTAAAGCAACAACTTGAACGTTGTGTTCAGGAATGGGTATGTTCTCTATACGCAACTAGAGTGGGAAAGAGCAGGTAGAGACAGTCAGGCTGCTTGGAACAGTAGACCTTGAATACTTGTTGAAATGTACTTACAGATGTACTTAGAAAGTACATCCGGATCTGCTTTCCACACATTGCTCCCTGTTCAGGCACGGTGGCCCTTCTAAAATTATGGACCTCTCTTGGGCCATGAGTCCAGGACTGCTGCATGTAATGACACTTTCATTTCCAAAGTGATCTATGTGAGCTCAGACTTGTTTTGCTATTTCATAAAAATCTAAAGTCATATGCAGTGTTCAGTAGGATTCTTTATCCTGAGTGGCAGACAGCATTTGTTGAAATATTTCTTTTAATTTGAATTGCACATTCTATGATGAACCGCTTTGGGAGTAGTCTCAGTTTTATCATCCCTTTAATAGATGTAGGCCTACCTTTTTTAAAAGTTATTCATTTTAAATTATTATATGAATATTTTAGGATTATAATCATCATAAAATGAAAGAAAATTTGTCAGACCAAAATAGAAATTTAATTTAAGATAGAAATTGATTATAAGCTTTAGTTAAGAGTAGAAATGTTCATAAAAGGATATTTTTAAAGCCCTGCAGCTATACAGTTATGTTATCATTTCAGAAATATCACAGATGTGTTTATTGGTGTCCTTGATGATCGTGTTTGAGTCAGTTTAGTTAGAGACCAACTTTTGTAAGGTTGAAAAAGCATAGCAACTCTGTGCCATCCATGGAGAAATGAAGTTAAAAATCTGTACCCGGAGTCCCCAGGTTACTGTCACCAAGAAAATAGCAAATTCAGGGAAAGACAAGTCCGGATACGCTGACCCTTCCGAAGGATCCTGGGTCTACCAGAGATACTTACACGTTCACGTTTATTGCTGTTCTGTTCACAGTCGCCCAGATATAGAAGCTGCCTAGACTTGTCAGTGGACAAATGCATAAAGACAATGTGGTATACAGTTATAATGGAGCCTTATTTTTCTGTTAAAATAAAAATGAAATGATGTCATTTGTAGGGAAAGGGTCTGAGCTGTAGGTCATCCTGTTAAGTGAAAGAAGCCAGACTCAGAGAGAGGAGTACCTTGTGTCTTCCTCTATATGCAGAACTTAGGTTCCTGCAAGCACAGCAAGAGAACAAAGGGGGGCTGTTAAGTGACCAGTGGAATGGGCAGGGGGACGTAATGGGTGAATGTGAGCCAAGTACAGTGATATGTATGTGTGAGAATGTCATAGGAGAACCCATGTTTCAGCATGTTACGTGATAATGCTTCAGAAATTTCTAAGGTTTATAGGAGGTGGAAGGTGCTCCTGACTGTCACTCTTGACTCTATTGAAGTTTCAGTGGCCATGGTCTGAAACATCCAGCGGATCCATAGGCATATGTAATTACAACATTCCCTTTTCTTTCTTTGGTATCTATAGCCCTTCCTTCCACCTGCCACCTTGTCCTGGGTGACATTTGAACTGGAAAACAGGTTTGTTTTCCAGTTGGATCTTGCTTATTTTTCTCTGGTGGCTCTTTGTTTCCATGGGGCTCAAATTTACTATTCATGAGACCCATTTTAATCAGTGACCGTATCAGACAAATGGAAGCTAAGCGCTGGCTAGTATGGCGGAAATAAACATGGGCTCTCATTAATGGTGCTGTCGGAATAATGAGTTGAGCGTTGTGTCCTGAGCCACACTGAGAGCAAGCAAGCTCCTCACTGGAACGACAGGCTGACAGCTACGTCTAGGAGTACAGTCATTAGTGTGCCCCGCCATCAATGTCATGGTACTGTGTCAAATTAGTTAGTGTCCCCTTTGCCGAGAAGCTGGACCTACAAATTATCCTCCCACATCCCTGGAAGCTGTGTTTGCGAAACCCGTGATCAAGTGTGAGCAAATTATTAACACGGCTCATAAATTAACTAGTTTACAGGCTTATAACATTTTACAAGTCGATAATAAAGGGCCCCAAAGTTCCCCAATGGCTCTGCCCTGGTGTGAGGACTGAGATGGGTCGATTTTCCCTTGAGGCGTGTGAAGATGATCGTTGGAAAAGGCACAGCTCTTGGGGTCTCAGAATAAGTGTTGGGTGGTGCTCGCCAGGAATGGCAGCAAGTGTACTTCCATTGAAGACAACATAATGAACTTCACTATTTCATTTTGCTGATGAGCTGATGACAATGGCCCTTTCTCCTGATGGCAGGCATTCTTTGGGAGTTTATATCTGAATGATCACTGCTCACCCCAATGGAATTTTGTAAAAGTGTTTTTGATGCATTCTTATGCTTTGTTTGAGAGGAATAATGACCACATAGCCTACCTTAGGAGAACTAGGATTTGTGTGTGTACGTGTGTGTATCGGGGAGTGCGTGGGGGTTTGTAGGCATGTGCGCCTGTGACAGTCATTGTGTACCTTGTGTGAAGAGGTCAACATTCTTGAGTGCTTTTCACTTTATTTCCTGAGATTTATCTCTCACTGAACCTGCTCATTGATTGGGCTAAGCTGTCTGGCCAGCAAGCTGCACAGACCTCCTCTCTCTACCTCTCCAGCACTGGAATTACATGTATACCCGACTGAACTTTTGTTGTTGTTGTTTTTTCTTAATGCCTTCACGGCAAGCACTGCACTGCCTGGTTGATCTCCCAAGCCCCAGATCAAGGGCACTCAAGCTTGTCTGGCCTGAACAGTCTATGTGTTGCAGGTAGCTGATGCCTAGGAAACAGCATGGCTAGGTCAACCTGAGTTTATCTGAATCTAAAAGAGATACCCATCTGGAATGTCATCTCTGTACTCCCCTCTGTTTTTCTTGCCAGACAACTTACATGGTTTCCAGAGACATGTTTTCAAGCTTTCAAATCATAAAACTCCATACATGTTTTCGGTTTTAACCTCTCAGTTTGATTAATCTAGGAAATGGGTACAGTCACCAAATGTTGCCTGAACACACTGTGGGAAGAGAGGGACACATGCACGCACCTGAAGGTCTTACATTGGATCCTCGTTCTACTTCATTTTCCTCTGCTAGAGTGTTGCTTCTGTAGGCATCGCAGCAGCGGAGATGACACGGTTACCTCAAGGTTTCATGGGGCCTTTGCCTGGCAGCTGCTCTTGAGAAAGCACTCAAAGGGGAGTTGGCTGCTTCATCAGCAGAGCTGGCAGACTCAGAATCCCCCCTGGTAAATAGTGTACTCATAACTCAACTAGACCACAGAACCTCATAGCTTTGGCACACATACTTGCCTTCCATGACAAGTCTGTGCCCTGGCCCTTACTGGCAGATGGAATGCAAGTGGTACACTGACCAATGAGACAATGTGTCTGGCTCACAGCAGGGGCTCACCTGCTCTTTCAAGGTACCTGTGTCTGGAGGGGGTGGGTTTCCTCCCGGCCTCTTCTGCAGGGTCCCTGAAGGTAGGTCAATGGACCCAAACCTCAAAGTAAAGCCTTCATTTTGCATGAATGTGTCTTCTTGCTCTTACTCCTCAGGACATGTTATTATGTGGGTGGTGCGATGGCCCTGCCTGTGAAACGCTTGTCCCATGAGATGAGACCATGCATTCACATCCCTAGCACATGCATAAAACAGTGGCAAGTGTCATTCCACCCAGGGCTGGGGAGATAGAGAGACATCTGGGCCTCTGGGGCTTGCTGGATAGTTAGTCTAGCCAAATGGGTAGGTACCAGGTTCAGTGAGAGACTCTGTCCCCAAAATAGTATGGTGACCTGATTGAGCAAGTTCTTTCAATCTGACCTCTAACTCTGCCCCTCCCCCCACACCAAAAGAAAAGAAGGAAATAAAAGAAGACACAGATGAACACTTCAGGGAACCAGACTGCCTCAGGGAATATATGTGCCCTCAGGAGTGAATGAAGGTTGAACTTGGCCTATGACATTTTTCATCTTCCTGATGCTAGAAGGGAGGTGAGAAAACAGGGCTAATTTTGTGTGTGAAGAGAGCATTCCTGTGAAACATCCAAAGCCCCCTCACCCTAACCCTTCTCTCCTTCTTGCCTCCAGGGTCCTTCCGTGTGTTGCAGTCTTGTGGCGTTCTGCAGGCCCCCTGCCAGTGACCCCAGGCTTTTTATGGCTGTGAGACTCATTAAAAGCTCAGGGTAAGTGACCAATGTCTGTGTCACCAAGGAGTGGAAAGAAAATTATGGGCCACTTGCCCCAGGATCAGGCAAGAGTCCCAAAGCTGGCTGGCACCTGTATGCTGCCATTGTATACATTGGTTTACAGTTGTATACATAGGGCTCTTCCGGGCTAGGGAATGATGGCTCAGTGCTTAATGTGCTTGCCCTGCCAGCGTGATGGCCCGAGATCAATCCTATGCAAACAAAAAAACAAACAACAGTAACAAAACAGGTATGTGTTTATCAACCCAGTGCTGAGGAGGCAGAGAGTGGTGAATCCTGGCTTATGCTGGCCGGCCAGCCTGGCCTCCTCAGTGAGCTCTAGGTCTCAGTGAGAGACCATGCCTCACAAAGCAAGGTAAATGGCTCCTAAGGAATGACACCCTTGGCCCCCACACACATCCATACACATACATGTGCCAACACATCTAACACCCCAAACAGAATGAATTAAAAGGAGTCTCGTCTTTGCCTGGTCGGCTGCAGGAAGATGTCCACATGCAGAGATGGCTCACATTATTTAAAAAAAGGCTAGAGAGTGGCTAGAGTAGTCAGCCTCCTGGGCCACAAACAGTATCTCTTGTAGTTAAGCACCCCTGCTGTTGGTCAGCAGAATTAACCATGGGTGCTTAGAAGAGAAAATGGGTGGGGTTACTATGTCCCCATGAACCTTGTGTACCCAAATAGTCATTGAGCTATTTTGACCTGGGATTTGCTCACCCATTCTCTCCTGCATCAAGGTTGGAGTACCGTCCATGCACTTGACAGCTCTTAGGGTACTAGTCACTCTGACTTTGAGCAAACTATGAATGTGGAGGAAATGGGGATTTGAAATAGCTGTCCTCTCAACCTGGCATGGGAGCTGCCAGGCGCGAGCAGGGTGGATGTGGAAGGTTCCTTCTGTGTGAGGGAAAGCTCTTCCGTCTCTCTGGCTCCCCAGCTAGACAGGGAGCTTTGCTTTCGTTAGCTAACTAACCCAAGGTGGCGGAATGCTCTTTTATTTGTGAGTCTTGTGGTCTCTGAGCTCCGTCTGTGTTACACTTGATGGACATGCTGTTGAAATATCTCTTTAGTATCAAATATGGATGAAGGGATACACCGGTAGATTATGGCAGGCTAAAGATCAAATGCCAATGAAGAGCGATTAAATTTCCTTTAATCATCAGAATCTGAGAGGGCTTTAAGATCTTCCACCTTTAATATAGGCCTTAATAAATAATAATGCTTTGAATGTCTGCAGTATGTTTGAATTTCACAAGTCTTGCATGTCAAAACATATAGACAGACTCAGCAAATACGCTTCTCTGGACCAGCAGTACTAATTAAGAAGGGAAGTCAGGGTTAAACAAACAGCTTTGAGAATAGAGGGTGGGAATAAGAAACCCAATTTGTGGGTTTTCTAGGGTTTTTGTCCTCACTAAAAGTGACAGTGCAAGCTGAAGAGTGTTTTTGTTTCCCTGTATTATTTGCAAATGACTGTCTCATAACACATCACTGTAGGTAGGTAGGTGTATGGATTTGCCGTGTGTTCTCGTTCATAAAACACATGTGGAGAGAGTACTTTGTGCTGTCTGTCTTTCCACTCTGCCTGCTCACGGGTGTTAGCACTCTCTTCCCTGCTGGTGGCTTCTGGCCTTCGCTTGCATGTGTGCTCGGAATGTTCCCATATATACTTCATGCATTCATCCCCACCCCATCTTTTCCTGCCGCTCCTCCATATTCCCCCAGCTCCCTACCCACGTGTGTCTCACACAAAACAAAGACGGAGCAAAATCAAACCCAGTGCGGTAGAATGCCTGCCACCCTTCTGAGGACAGAAGAGGATAAAGTCCAATGAGTTTCAGTCAGGCAGTGTAAGCACATGAGGCCCGGGAAGACTTTCAGTTGTGAACAGGCTTCAGGGCTAACATCCAGCTTTTGAAATCTCTAAAAGTATCTAACACCCCTGCTTTCAAATATCATTTGAGAAGGTAAAATAATAACTCACGGAAGGGAACCAGGCTGTACAACCGGGAATGAGGGTGAGTTTTGTTTGCATGGGAAGTGGGCCAGCCTGGACCCACCGCCTCTGCCCTCTCCAAGGCCCCAGGAGTGCCAGCAGGAAAGCCTGGGAGCACCGACAAGTGTTTTCTTGTGTGTTTCCACGTTTGGCTGCCCTGTGTGAGTCCAGCCCGGTGTTCTTGGCCCTCTGTGCCAGGTGACTATCTGAGAGTTGCTTGGGCAGAAGTTCTCTGCACCAGCTTGTAGAACAGACCTTCCGCCTTGGTTCATCTCTTGCAGAGAGCCTAGGCCTCATCCTTGTCCTCCTGTCTCCCCAGTAGTTGTCTTGTGTGACACATCTCTTCCTCTCCATGGTCCTACTTCGTGAATGTGGCTGTTGCTTGGGAACCGTCCTCACAGAAATCATGGTGGGGTATTGGGTTCATGTAGGTGTGTGAGACTGGAAGAGATGCTCCTGTGTACCATCAACCTATTCCCCGGACAGGACAGCGTAGTTTGCGTTTCTGCCCTACAAATACTGGGAGATGGATGCCGAATTCTCCCCATTCTTTTTCCTGCTAATCTTCGCGCCCTTATCCCAATCCTTGTCCCTCTCTTTACCCATCTGTGCCACTGTTACTCTATCTCCATCTATCTCTGTTTTATAGGGATGGAACCCAATGTCTCTCTCCCTGAACTGCATCCCCAGCTCCCAAGATACATGCCTTATTTCCTCCTTGGAATTTTCTGAATTCAAGAGAAACCTAATCATGAGGAACTTTTCCTAGAAAAGTTAAAAGAAACACTTCAGCTTTTGAAGTGTGCCCCATCGTCACTGTCTTTACTGAGAATTAGCTTTCTGCCAGACGTGATTCTCAGAATTTGACATTTATTCACTTGGAACAGCTCTGAGGCTTCTAAAAGTCCACTTTAAAGATGAGGAAACTGAGGCACCGTGAAGTACAATTTCCTGCCTAGAGTTATCTGTGTATCAGGCCAAATGTGGGGGTTCAATCCTAGGCCCTGTTTCTTGTGGTTTGTAACCACTACTCAGCTGGTCTTGTCTGTACTCTTCTTTTTTTCATAGTGTTGATCTGCAGATGTTTTATTTTGGCATGTTTATGGCTGTTGCTATGAACTACAGAACCACACCTTGGCTTGTGTACTTGAGGGCTTCATCTGTCTGTACCTTTAAATTTCTACAGCTTTTATTTATTTGTTTGTGCGTGTGTTTGCTTTTCTTGCTAATACAGGACACGTGGGGAGTGAAAATGCGTCCTGGAACATTGAGAACCAGGCACATCCTTTTGTCTCTAGTGGATGTGTCTGTTACAATATTGCTTCCCTTTCCATCTTCTGAGTTGTTTTGCTGTGGTATGTTATTCTAATTAACCTCACATCTGTAACCCTCATTTTATGTCCTGTTAGCCCCTGACCAGCCAACGATTGATTTGTTCCGCTCAATCACCTGTGTGAAAAAGTAGGGTTAGCCAGAGTGCCCTGCCCAGGGCGCTGCTCCTCTACCTGGGTTGGTTTGGCAGCAAGCTGGGTCAGCAAATCCTCCTTGCACATGAGAGCGCTCACCAGGGAGGCTTTTTATTGACCACCATAAACATGTAGCCACTTTTAATCCTAGCTACCATTAGAAAACCTGTAGTTACATGGTCAGTAGAACTGTAGATTCACAAGCTGTGTGTCAAGGACATTACTAGTAACACAGGAGGCGGCAAGCTGCATGAAGCCGGGGACCACGGGTGAGCTGTTCTCACCGAGAAGTCCTTAACTGTCTATATTTCCAGGTTGACTCCGAGCAACGTGTTTATGTGTGTGCCGTGCATGCATATGAGTATGCATGTGTGTGTACATAAATGTACATGAGTCGGGCTTATTTCTCAATGTCTGTCCATCACATTCACTGACGCAGGATCTTTCGGGGGAATCCCCACAGGTCACTCATATGACCAGTGTGGCTAAGAAGCCGTTGTCTTTGCCTTCCAAGCATTGGGTTGACCGGGGCTTGAGGCTCCCTTGGCTACCTGCTGTTTACATGGATTCTGGCTTGGGCAACAGACAGTTCAACTACGAGCAATATCTCCAGTGCTGTGGACCACTTGTAACCCATTTCTGCCTTTGAATTCTGAGCCTCTCAGTAGTCCACTCATTTTGGGTGTGACTGGCCAGCTTAGGGGCAGACATTGAATGGGCTTATCATTTTAAAAAGTCAGACAGTAGCATGAGCTTCAAGAGCGTCGAGATCAGTGGTCGGGGGAGGGGACTGTTAGGTCTCCATCTCAGGGTTGTGGCTGTTCTCTGCTCCACGTTACAGTCATTCCCAGGGGAGCTCTCTGGTGACATCATGGCACCCTTCCTAAAACTGTTTTGGGAAGAATTCCAGCAGAAACCAATCTGTTCTTTTTAATCTTTTTGACCTTTATTAAATCTGTGTATGCATGAGGACATTGAGTGTATTTGTATGTGCCCTCATGCCGGGGCGTGGCTGTGGAGGTCAGAGGACAACCTGAAGGAGTCGGTTCTCTCTCTTCGGAGACTGAACTCAAATTCAGCCAGCACGATAAATCTGTTCCAAGGCCTCATCCGTGTCAGTCAGTTTGGCTTTACTGCTGCTGTGATTTGGGGCAGGGGAGATGCAAATACACATGGAGGTCAAAGGCCAACCGTGAGTGGCAGATCTTATGCATGTTGCAGTCATTGAGACATGATCTGTCTACCATTGGAACCTCAGCAAGCAGGCTCGGCCAGCCAGAGGGACAGCTAGCTCGAGAGATCTGCCTGTCTCTGCCTTCACAATTCTTGGCATTTCGGGTGCGCGTCAGCACACTTTCTCCGTGTGTGCTGGGAATCAAACTCAGGCCTTCATGCTTGCGAAGCAGGCAGGCACTTTACCAAATGGAGCCCCCACCTCGACTCCCAACCCCCTGTGATTGGTTTTGTGTGCATCTGAAATGCGAGGGCTGGAGCCCTGGGTGCATCCCTTGCTC